GGGCAAGAGGTGAGAGAAAGAGAGAAAGAGAGAAAGAGAGAAAGAGAGAAAGAGAGAAAGAGAGAGGAAGAGAGAGAGAGAGAGAGAGAGAGAGAGAGAGAGAGAGAGAGAGAGAGAGAGAGAGAGAGAGGAGAGAGAGAGAGGAGAGAGAGAGGGAGAGAGAGAGAGAGAGAGAGGAGAGAGAGAGAGAGAGAGAGGAGGGAAGAGGAGAGAGAGAGAGGGAAGAGAGAGAGAGAGAGAGAGAGAGAGAGAGAGAGAGAGAGAAGAGAGAGAGAGAGAGAGAGAGAGAGAGAGAGAGAGAGAGAGAGAGAGAGAGAGAGAGAGAGAGAACACGAGCGAGCTTGGGCTAAGATTAAGATGACTTCCACCTCAGGCAGGAGATTAAAATATCCAGTGGTGTTATACAGAATCTCTGATGAGCGGATTCAAAATGGACTTTTATAGGAGTTAGAAGGAGTGCATTAAACCAAGACCAAGCACAAAAGCAAGGATCTGTAAAAAACTGTCAGGAAGACAAGTCCAAAATAGTCTAAGACCTGTAAAAAATGCTAAAGGGCAAATGTTTTACCTGCATTGGAGACAAAAGCAACAAGGAAGGAATAGGCCTGTGATGGGGCAATCTTAGCAGACGGCAGAGAGAAAGTAGAATTACTCAACTCCACTTTTTCTTGTTTTATCTATCAAGGAGAATGATCTCCAGACTGGAAAAGACAGAACAATAAAAGTCAAGAGAGAATTTAAATTTAAGATAAGTTTAAAAAGATAATAAAAGGGTACCGCCTAGTTATTCTAAATAAATTCAAGTACCTAGCTTGTACAAATTATACCCCAAGGTAAATGCTGAACTACTCTATGTTGTCTCTAAACATACAACTGGAGATGGGCAAATAATATCCGGATAATCAAATATCTCAGCTTCTGCAACTGTGGATGGATTAGTTTGACATCCACATTCAGTAAGATTTTATAAGACAGGATCAAATGGATGATTTTCGAAATTAAGGATGCAAAAGTCACACTATACTGCTCAGATTCTTAAAATCTAGCCACTGCTCAGATTCTTATAATCTAGCCAATAGCTCAGTAATGTTCAGATTCCTTAAGAGTCTGGCCAATATGGCAGATGTTCTAATAAACCTTGTCTTTGGCTGAAAGAAGGCTTGGTCAAATTCTTTTGGGCAGAATCCACATGTTATGATTTTGAGGCCCCTGTACCCCTAAACCTCTAAACCTCAACAGGACTCAATGACCTTGAAAGTCCTTTTCAGCTGTGACATTTTATGATCCTTTATTTTTCAGCCACTAATGATTTCTTTGCACAGGTCTGTTTTCTGTGGAACAGCTCCACTTCTCTAACAGTTTCAAATATGAAAGTGATGTCTTAACATTTGAAATGCCAAAGAAAATGCTACTAATTATCATTACTTTTTTATTTCTTATTAAACAATATATAATATTATATATAAAATATAATATGTATACTATATATCTATCATATGTATAGAAGATAGTTTTATAATACTTTCTTTTCACTGATAATAAAAATAATGAAAAAAAAGTCACACTACAAGACAGCATGGGTCATGTCAAACTAACCTGGTTTCCTTTTTTGACAGAACTATAGAATTATTAGAAATTGTCAAAAGACAATGATATACATGGATGTCAGCAGGAGATTTGACAAAGTGGTTGAAATTTTTAAAAATAGGCTATGATACTACAATTAGATGTATCTAAAATTGGTTGAAAGACCTAACCCAAAAATATCAGCTTGAAAGACAATCTCTAATAATGTGTAAATAGCTATGTCTCTAGCCTATTTTGGGGCTTATTGATGACTTAAGAAATAAACAGAATACTTAAAAAATTTGTATATTACACTAAGTTGAGGTAATATTTAGATAACAGAATTGGGATCCAAAAAGATATGACAGACTGGAACAATGAAGCAGACTTCAGAGGAAATTTCTTAAGGATGAATGTAAATTCTTATACAGTTTTAAAATATCCATTGCACAAATACAGAATGCTGAAGATGTAGGTAGGCAACAATTAATGTAAAAAGAGACCAGTGAGCTTAATCGATTTCAAGGTTAATATGAATCAGTGTGGCTACTGGTAAAAAAAAAAAAGGAAATGGATTCTTGGGCTGTAATAACAGAAGTAGACAGAATCTAGAATAAGAGGGGTGACAGTATCACTGTGTTGTATGCTGGGCAGACTAATTGTGTTCATTTCTGGGCACCATATTTTAAAAAGTATGACAAACTAGAAGCAGGTGATTCAAAACCATGTTATTTGAGTATCTATTTAAGGAAGTAAGGATGTTTAACTTAAAAGAGGAAATTTAATGGAGACATGATAACCCTTCACATTTTTGAAAGATAGCTATTAATCTAAAAATTTGGTACATAGTAAGTGAAAGCAATATCACAAAGAAAAGGGATTAGAGTTATTCTGCTTGGCCCTAGAGGACAGAACTAGGTCCAACAGGTAGAAGTACTGAGAGACATATCAGCTCCAAACTGGTAAGAATTTCCTAATAATTAGAGCTGTTAAAAATGAAATGGACTATCTCATAAGGTAATAAGTTCTCTATCACCCCAGAAATTTGGGCAGTGGCTGGATGACTACTTGACAGAAATCTTAAAGAGAAGATTGATCCATTAGACAAGGAATTAATCTAGGTTAGATAGCTCTCTAAGGTCTCTTCAAGTATGATTCTATAAAGCAAATATGAGATTAGCTAATACGCACAAATTCAGTGTGAAATCTGTAGAAAGATATTAATTGTAAGGAGTTTGGGTGCCATATGAAACATATGAAGAATATTCTCTAGATTTGAAATTGAAAATCCAAAGCAAAGGTCCTATAAAGGCCTGACAAGACAGATTTTAAAAGATTGAGTTAAAGAACCCACAGGGAGTAGACGATAAAGATGCAAAAAAGCCTGACTACCAGCCCCTACTCTGACCTGTGCTGATCAGGGAACACAGGACCTCCAAAAGTAGTCATTCCTGGAATTAAACTCATCATTAATAGGCATACCACACCAAAACGGTTAAAAACTTGCCAATAATCTATCAAGCTACTAGTGTTTTACCTGTTTCAGCCCTAGGATAAGAGGGGATAATTCAGGGTGAAGTGGGAAGGAGTAGGAAACTCTATGCTGAAATCCTGATCTCTCTCTGACTCCAAAGTGGCATGGATAGTTCCAAGTCTGGTTAAGATATAGTTTCCTCTTTGCAAGCTTCAGCTTAAGAATGGTCAGATCAATTTGTCCAAAGTCCGCAAACGTTACCAAGAGTTTCTGGCACTGTGCCCACATTCAGGAACAGGTAATAGTAAAGATATAAGGGACTGGAGCAAAGATTCCTAGGATCAGTGAGTCTCTGCTTTGTAGAAGAAATTTCTATAGATTCTAGCATCCAGAGTTACTGGAGATTTAAGTGTTGGGTTCTCAAAATTCTTATCTTCTCTGGCCTGCACCAGATCTATCCCCACTGAGAGGACAAGGGAGAGAAAAAACCCAAAATAAAATATAGAAGTTAAATCAAGGAGCAACTCCTGATACCTGAGGCCTTCTAGTCCTACTGGGCATCCATAGTGAGCCTGTCTGAGATGTGACTTTCATTGCTGTTGGTCTACTTAGGTGGCTTTCTTTTTGCCATCTTGGAAGGACTATCTAAAATCACTTAGGGTTTTTTTTTAAAACCCTTCAGGTTTAATCTTGTTTCAGGTCTCATTTCCTTGCTTCATTCAGATCAAGGCATCTACTTCCTCAATCTCCCACTCAGCCCCAGGTTATCCTTTTATCTCTTTCAGGAGGCTCTACACATAAATCGCTGGGGAGGGTCAGGAAGGGAGATCACATCTACCCCACTTCTGAAACCAGAGTAATAAGCCCCTCCTTCTGAGCTTTGAAAAAAGGAACTCTGCTTTGGAAGGGACCAGACGATAGCTGACAACAGTTCTCAATTAATGAGGGGAACATTGGTCTCATTTAATGAAGATCTACTGCTTAGATGTGCCTCCTTAGAACAGGCACTAGATAGCATAGCTACCCATCCAAGGGGCTTCCCCACCTCAGCAGTTAAGGAATTTGGTCTTCTCTTTTAAAACATCACAAGAATAAGCCCTACCCTGTGACTAATTCATCAAGTGCAGTTGGTCATGCTGAGTGTCTGACCATTCATACTTGAATCAGCCTCTCTCAACTTGGGAGGTCCCTAGAGTGTAGAGAGATCCCTCGCTTTTTTGTGACACCTAAGTTTTCAGGGTCCCAGAAGCAGCTGTCTTGAGGAAATAGCAAATGACCTGACCTGATAGGTTATCTGACTGTGCAGTTATTTAACTGCTCAAGCCTGTTGATTCAAAGCCTCTTTTCCCCTTCAGGCTATTGGACAAACACTCAGAACACTCACTCAGAGCTCCTTGGATTAACCCGCACTTGTCACCCCTGTTTCCACAACAGACCCTGGCCAGGCACAGGATTTGGTCGATGTCTGGCCCCATCTGACAGCTCTGCTCTGCTCTGCCATGGATTCTCCCGCCCCAGACAGATGAAGAAGACCTCCGCATCCCTCTCCAGTCCCAATCCCCTGCTCCGTGGGGATCTGCAACCCCTCACCGATCGACTCCCCCACCCCCACTCGAGCTCCCTGGTCACCTACACTTCTCCCCATCAAAGTCCCGACCTCCTCCCAAGCTTCCCCCACACCACATGCTCTCCACATCCTCTTCCTCTCTTGCCAACACTCTTGCCCTCTGTGCCCCCCAACGTCCTGCTATGAACCCCTTCTTCCCTCACAGCTCTCAAGGCCTCCACGTCCCCCCTCAGACCCCCTGAAGCCCCCAGCTCCTCTGAAAAGTCGCCACGCCTAGACAATCTGCCACCCATCAGGGCTCCTTTTGCCTCTCCTCCGCCCTCCCACTGGCACCTGGAGGCCTTAAATCCCCACAGTCGAGACCCCCATCTCTTCCTTCACCCAGCGCCTCACCCAGCTCCAAAGGTCCGCTTTCACCTCGGCTCTCCGACCAACAGCGGGCAGACGGAACGCGCAGGCGCCGTTTTAACTGGTCCCGCCCCCGCACCGCCCCGTGCCGCGCACGCACCGCCCCCGGGTTCTCACAAAGCGAGCCTGAATACCTGATCTCGAGCATGCGCATTACTAGAACTCTGCCCTTCGCCAGCGCGCTGTATCGTGGAGAGAGCATGCGCGGCACTGCGGGAGCCAGCCACCGGGACGTGGTGGGGGGTGGGTGGAGACGGAATGGAAGTGTTAGGGAGTGGGGAGGAGGACGAACAGGGAGGGGCCAAGGAGACCGCGGGCATTGGGAAGGTATAGGTGTATGCCGAAGGGCATAGGGAGGGTATAGGTCTCTATCAGAAAGCTGTCCCTCGCCTCGCCTCTCCTCGCCTCCAAGAGTTCCTGAAGATAATTGACATGGAGACCTTTGACCCTCTAGTTGGTGGTTGTATGGTAGGGGAGCCAGCACTGGTCTTAGACCTGGAAAACCTGAGTCTGAGTATGCTACATTTTAGCTGTGTGACTTTCAGCAAATCACTTAACCATTTTGGTCTTCTGTTAGCTCACAAAATGAGTGGATCTTCCCCTGTTTTGAGTTATGGACCCCATTTGACAGTCTGATGAAGGCTACAGACTCCTCAGAATAATTTTTTAAAGGCATAAGATACATAGGATTACAAGGGGGAAACAATTATGTTGAATAGCAGTTATTAAATTTTTTTTAATGACACATCTATTCTCAAGGAACTTGTGTTTTGATTTTGTCTTTGTAGTGTCTAGCACAATGTCTGGGACATAATAGGTGTTTAATAAATATTTGTTGATTAATAGAAGAAACAAAATTCACACAATTATAGTACAAGGATGAGTGTGGTAAGTGCAAAAAAAAAGGTGTAGGCAAAGTGCTATAGGAAATTTGAGGAGAGTCAGCTGGGGATTAGTGGTGTAAGGGAAGACTTCATGAAAGAGGTGTTGCCTGAATTGGGTGTTAAAGGAGGAGAAGGATTTCAACAGATGGAATGGTGAAAGGACTCCATTCCAAGAATAGGAATACTATGTATTATGTGAACAAAGGCATGATCCCAGAATGAGCAGGACTAGAGTAGAACTAGAGCCTGGAACAGAGTATGTGAAGGAAAAAACATGAGATAAGGCTAGAAAAGTATGTTGAAGTCAGTTTGAGGAGGACCAGGATCTGGGATTTGTATTTGATTTCATGGGCTATAGGGAGCGTTTGAAGATTTTATCATCTAGTCTGTTTCTCTGTCTCCATTAGCCTTCTTTAGCATTTCCTTCTTAATTATTATAAAGGAATTTGCTGAAAATAATCACTGACCAGTGTCCATAGGGAACATTTGTGTTTAAAGTAGGCAGTGTCTGTGGTGACCACATCTACCAAGAAGAGAGTGTTTGTATGACCACAGTGCTCAGTGTCCACAGTGCCCATAATGCTTATTGTGTTTGTAGTGACCACAGTCTCTGAAGTGCCCACAGCAATTATAGAGTCTTCAGAGACCACAGTGACCTTGGACGTGTAAAAAAGAGTGTTAAGCTGCTTCATAGAGAGCCACTTTTCATCACAAAATGAATGATGTGGACAAAGATGGAAAAGAAGGAAGAGACACATACAGATATAAAAAGAGACATAGAAATAGACATAGAGATGCAAAAAGGGAGAATAGATTGGAAGGGTGTGTTTGGGGACTTGTTTAAAAATTTCTGCTTCTTTTAATTTTAATTATAATTTCCTATTGGAGTGGGGCACATAGGCTGAAAGACATGGCTGGATGCTCTCTGCCCTACATCTGGAGATTGTACCCCCTCCTCCTCCTTCACCAAACAGCAGTTCTAGATGTGTCCAGACTTTGTCCTATTCAACATTTTTTGAGCATTGAATTGTCATGGGAGGAGATGGGACTCACTCCAAAGGTAAGGAGAGTAGAACAAGAGAATGACAAAGGATGCACGGTCTAGGGTCTTGCCCTAAGAGGGGACCATGATGGGAAAGGGTGAGAAGGATGGGGTTGGGGGTCTGCTGAGAAGACTCAGAGAATCTCCATCATCATTATGGTGGAAGAAGCATGAATGAAGGGTTTTCATGTGTGATGGAAGATTTATAATTGAACACATGAATGAGTCTTGGTTTGGTGAGGGGTGCCTTCTGTTAAAAACCCTGCTTTCTATCACAAGGAAAGAGACAAGGGACAGAGAAATGTATGTGTTATTTTTGTTAGCATTTGGGAAATGAATCTATGATCACTGAATCAGCGTAGTTTCATCAAGAACAAGACAAGCTGGGACAGCTAGGTGGCACAGTGGATAGAGCATGGGCCCTGAAGTCAACAGGGTGTGAGTTCAAATGTGGCCTTAGACCGAACACTTGACACTTACTAGCTGTGTGACCCTGGGTAAGTCACTTAACCCCAATTGCCTAAAAAAATGCCAATCTAACTTCATTTCTTTTGTGTGTGTGTAAATCATGGTTAAGTGACTTGCCTAGGGTCACACAGCTAATAAGTATCATGTGTCTGAGGCCAGATTTGAACTCAGGTCCTCCTACTCCAGGGCCAGTACTCTATCGACTGTGCCACCTACCTGCCCCTCTTCCTTCCTTCCTTCCTTCCTTTCTTTTTTTGACAAGGTTACTAAACTAGACACTAGAGGTATAATGGATAGAGATCAGGCCTCAAAGTCAGTGAGACACAGGTTTAAGTCATGTCTGACTGGCTATGTGACCTTGGCCAAGACATTTAACCTCTAAGTGCCCGATCAACTCTAAGATTACCAGTTGTTGTTAGGCATCTCTTGGCTTTTCCTGGAACAAGACACTCTGTCTCCTGATTCTGGGGATTTTCACTGGCTTTTCCCCATACCTGGGATGCTCTTTGCCTTTATCACTTCATTTTGACTTCCCTGGTATCCTTCAAGCCTCAGCTAAAGTCCCGCCTTCTGCAAAAAGCTTTTCCAGATCTTCCTTAATGCAAGTGCCTTCCCTGTGTTGATTACCTCCAATTTATCCTGTATATATCTTGATTTTTTTAAAATTCAATTTTTTAAATTAATTTAATTGGGGTTAAGTGACTTTCCCAGGGACACACAGAAGAGCTTGCTTTCTTGTGTGTGTGTGTGTGTGTGTGTGTGTGTGTGTTTTTAGGCAATTGGGGTTAAGTGACTTGCCCAGGGTCACACAGCAATTAAGTGTTAAGTGTTTAGTCTGAGTCGGGATTTGAACTTGGATCCTCCTGACTTCAGGGCCAGTGCTCTATCCTCTGTGCCACCTAGCTGCCCCTGTATATCCTGATTTTACAGAGTTGTTTGTACATTGTCTTTTCCATTAGAGAAACTATAAGCTCCTTGGGAGCAGGGACTCTTTTGCCATCTCTTCTCTCTCCTCTGTCTCTGTCTCTCTCTCTCTGTTTCTTGGACATGGTACATAATACTGACTTAACAAATGTTAATTGACTAACTAGAGGAAATTCCTTATTGCGATTTTTCTAAACTGACAAAATCATAGGTCCAATTTAAGACTAGAACTGTTAGAACTCCCTAGACGCAATATATTTGGATTTCAGAAAGACAGAACAAAATTTCTCACGATGATCATGTGGACAAGATGGATAGAAGTAGACTAAATGATAATATAGTTAGATAGATAAACAGCTGGTTGAATAACTTGGCTGAAAGAGTGGTGACTAATGGATAGATCTCAACCTGGAAGTATGTCTCTAATGGAGTACTGTTCTTTTCTTTAGTTTGTTTTAATAAATCTTTTTTTTTAAAAGTGACTTGGGTGAAGGCCTAGATGGCATGGTTGTCAAATTTGAGGATTACAGGAAGCTAGAAAGGATACAGAATGCACTGAGCAGAAATGGGATCCAAGGAGATCTTGACAGGTTGGAAAGATGGACTGAATAGAATTAAGATTAACTTTAATTGGGTTAAATGTAAAGTTCTACATTTGGGTTAAAAATGATCAACTGCACAAGTTTTAAGATAGGGTTAGACAATTATTCATTGGAAAAGGACATGGAGGTTTTAGTGGACTGCAAGTTTAACAGAAAACAGTGATGAGATAGTTACAAAAACTCATGTGATTTTAGGCTACGTTGGTAAAAGCACAGTGTCCAAGAGGTTATAGTTCCATTAAACTCTTCTCATCAGACCACATCCAGAGTATTATGGTGAGTTATTGGTGCCATATTTAAGGAAGGATGTTAATTAGCTCAAAAGGAACCAGAATGATGTTAATAACTAGTACTTTAGCCTGAATGATGGAAGATTTAATGGGGAAGGGAGAACATGACTACTGGCTTCAAAACCATTGTAGCATTTTCACTCAATGGAGCCTTTGAGCAAATGCAGGCTGACCACTTGTTAGGTGGACTATAGAGATTCTTGCTCAGGGGTGAGTAGGACTAGATGGGCTTGGAGGTCCCTTCCTACTCTGATGTTCTCTGAAATAGCTAAAGGAGTTTGTTTTGCTTGGATCAGAAATGAGGAATGGGTTTGGATTCAAAAGACCTAGGCCCAAATCTCAGCAGCTTGGTGCAGTGGAAAGAGCACTGAAATCCTGGCTCCATCTCATTAAACTTCACTTTTCTGAACCTCAGTTTTCTTATCTGTAAAATGGGAGGTTTGACTAGGTTACTCTGTTTCTTCCTAATTTTAAATCTACTAAGCCAAGAGAGAATAACAATGTTGCTTTACATAAACTGATTCATTTACTCTTCACGAAATAAGGCTATTAGGCAAGTGCTATTATTATCCCCGTTTTATAGGGGAAGAAACTGAGGTATGGGTAGATCCCAGGGTTTTAAGGGCCCTGAAGCAGGGTTCCAATTCGTGTCTTCCTAACTCCAATGCCAGTGTCCTATGCACTGTACTAAGATCAACAAGTGTCAATTAAAGAGGTAGATCTGAGCTCTTTATAAGATGGGGGTGGGGAGAGAGTGATAAACTTTCTAGCAAGTAGAGCTGTCCCCAATATGGAATGAGCAGTCTAGGAAGATAGTGAGTCCTCTATCACTGGAGG